GGGTAGAGTGCTGTGGCATCACAGCTCACAGCAACCTCCAACTCCTGGGCTCAAGCGAGTCTCCTGCCTCAGCCTCCCCAGTAGCTGGGACCACAGGCACCTGCCACAACGCCCGGCTATTTTTTGGTTGCAGTGTCATTGTTGTTTGGCAGGCCTGGGCTGGATTTGAACCCGCCACCTTAAGTGTATGTGGTTGGCGCCTTTAGCCACTTGAGCCACACAGCCATCATTGTTGTTCCGTGGTCCTGGACTGGATTCAAACCTGCCAGCTCAGGTATATGTGGCTGGCAACTTAGCTGCTTGAGCCACAGGTGCTGAGCTGGGACAGAGTCCCATTTTATCGGCCTCCGTAGAGTGTTGTGTCATCACAGCTCACAGCAATCTCCAACTCCTGGGCTTAGGCGATTCTCTTGCCTCAGCCTCCCAAGTAGCTGGGAGTACAGGTGCCTGCCACAACATCTGGCTATTTTTTTGTTGTAGTTGGGCTGGGGCTGGGTTTGAACCTGCCACCCTTGGTATATGTGGCCGGTGCCCTACCCTCTGAGCTACAGGCACCGCCCTCATCTGTGCAAGTTTCAACTTGCTTGGCTTATTGGTGTTGTTGGGAGGACTTCATTTGTTTCTTTCTTTGCAAAATATGTGTTCCTCAAAACTTTTGTAATGACCCATGTATAAGACTGTCAACTATTTTCCAACTTCCAGTACTTTCATTGCTATGTGTTATGCTGGGATGTGATTGTGATATATTGGGAAGAAGTCAGCACTAGTATCTGAAAGACTTGCATTGTGGGTTCTTTTCTGCCATTACGTTGATGTCATTTGATCTTTTAAGGCAGTGGTTCTCAACCTTCCTAATGCCTTGGCCCTTTGATACAGTTCCTATGGGTTGCGACCCACACGTTGAGAAACGCTGTTTTAAGACTCCAGTGTTCCTATTATGTAAGTGAAGGATTTTGACCAGCTACTGTTCTTGTGAGGACTACTTCAAGTTGAGTATTTGTCAACAGTGAATGAACAATGTTGCTGGAAACACCAGTGTAACATTAGGTCACCTGTAGGGATATTAATGTTGTAAGCTTCAGAAGAATCACAGCAATCAGTCCACCGTATTTTATACTGATGAGAGACTGGTCATTTGGATGCAAAAAAAGTCTGGAAACTGTGTCATCTGGAGAAAGGAATAGACACAAGTTTTTAGTCTAGAAAAGAATGGGCTTGGCATCGTGGGCTAGTGTTGGAAATAATGTAATTGTCGTCAGATACTTCAGGGGCTTTGGGGGGAAAGGGGGTGTAATACTTGTTCTTTGAAGTCATATAGGATTACAGTGAAGAGTATTTTGATTAAATATTAACAACTTTCTTAGAATTAGAGCAGTTTAGAAAATAGAGATAATAAATTCCCTTTTACTAACAGTATTCAGTAAATGCACATCAGAGATGATTTCAGTAGGAGTACTTTATCTGAATAGAGTGGAGAAACTTAGAAATCTATGATTTGATTCTATAATTTTGTGGTTAGATTAAGTCCTATCTAGTGTAAGAAATTGCATTATTCTGAGTTTCACGTATTCAGAGTTAAAAGTTTGAAACTAAATTACTATCCCCAAGGTAATGTAGAGAAAATTTCATTTTATTGGAATCATGATTACATTCTTAGTAAATACTTTTTAAAGGTATTCTTTCTTTGTTCTTATAGATTGATCAATACTTAATATAAATCTCAGTCTTACTAGTGGGTTTACATAAGAATTTTAAACTAAACTCAATTTGAGGAACAACTATGCTTAGATTTTATCATTTGCTTTGTAAGCTATTTGTTGTTACTTGTTCCTTCATTTCTCTGAAATATATACTTTTTTGTTATTAGAATGGTTAAGGAGAAAATATCATTTTGGTATCTGACTTACATTTTTAAAGAATGCTAAACGAATAATACATATAATGCACTTAGGAATGTGCCTGACAAATAGTAACTGCTCCATTAATGCTGGGTGTTACTATTACTGCCATATACAATCAACTCTTTTTTTTTTTTTTTTTTTTTTTTGAGACAGAGCCTCAAACTATCCCTCTGGGTAGAGTGCTGTGACATCACAGCTCACAGCAACCTCCAACTCCTGGGCTCAAGCGAGTCTCCTGCCTTAGTCTCCCAAGTAGCTGGGACCACAGGCGCCCGCGACAACGCCCGGCTATTTTATTTGGTTGCTTGCAGCCGTCATTGTTGTTTTGGCGGGCCCGGGCTGGATTTGAACCTGCCACCTTAGGTGTATCTGGCTGGCACCTTAGCCACTTGAGCCACAGGTGCCAAGCCACAATCAGCTCTTTTAAAGAATGAGGAAGATAAGTGAGAAAAGAATAATAAAGTAAGTGAATTGAATTATACATTTACCAATTCAGTAATTATTAAATTTTTTTTTTTTTTGAGACAAATTCTGTCACCTTGGGTAGAGTGTTGTGGTGTCACAGCTTACAGCAACCTCAGACTCTTGGGCTCAAGCTATTCTCTTGCCTCAGCCTCCCATGTAGCTGGGACTACAGGCACCTGCCACAACATCTGGCTGTTTTTTTGGTTGTAGTTGTTGTTGTTTGGCAGGCCTGGACTGGATTCAAACCTGCCAGCTCTAGTGTAAGTGGCTGGCACCCTAGCCACTGAGCTACTGGTGCTGAGCCAACATAATTCTTATAAATGAAATCCTGTTATCCTTTGCAGTTCAAGTAGTACTTCCATGTATAAGTCATGAAAAATGTATTTATATGAGAACCTTAAGAAATTTTAAGGAAACTAGAATGAGCACAAATGGCAATTATCAATAGCTGGCATCAGAGAGGGTTTGGTGTCTTAGCAGGATGATAGTGCTTACAGCTGAAGGTGCTTCCCTACAACAGATTCAAAACCTAACCATGTAATAATTCCTTGCTCTC